CAATTAAAAACATATGTTTGTAATAGAATATCAGAAATTCAACAAACAACTGAAGTAAATGCTTGGTATCACATATCCACCACTCTGACGAAAATTTCAAATAGACTTAACTGTTTTTGTTGTTTATTATTATTTTTTTGATAAATATTTGTAAGCATATATGCTTTTAGTCTAATTATATTGTTAATTTAACTTATAACAAGCATCTATGTTACTTTAAGATTTTTGTAATTAGCGTTTAGTTTCTATTGAAAGATACCGAAGTATTTTCAAGGGCGGCGGTATGAATAATTTTATGTTTATAAAAACCATGTGATACGCTTCTTTGTTATTTGTAATGTGAGTTGCCTATTATCCGTCTGATTCGGCATTCTTTGACGCTAATTGTACCTTAGCAACATATAATAAACAGTTCACTGACAATCAAAGCATTACAATAAAAGTTATTAAAATAAACGAGTAGTGCCTTCTTCAACCAAACAAGTAGAAACATCTTATCCATGTTACCTAATTTGGAATCTACAAGAAGTCTACAAATTCAATAGTGTTAAAATAAAATCTATAAATATTTTAAACATAAGTTTTAAAATCTGCATGTTGTAATTTAAATTTTGGACTTAATATAGTCTGGCTCTGGAGTACAGATATATTTATTGTTTTTTGAAAGAATTTTGTCTTTATTTTTTATACATAGTTTATTTAATTTGGTTTCAATTTTTTATATTATTTTTTAACGTATATACGCTATTTCTGAAAATAAACCGCATTATATTTGAATTTTCAATTCTTATTTTATCACCCCTAAACAACGTATTTAGAACTTCATCAGTACGTAAATTATAACCCCAAAAAGACGTCTTGGAAAGTCGTTTGACTGACGTCATATTGTTACGTGAATGTCACGTTCCTAGCGAAACGTATTAAATACGTCTTTAGATGACGTCCCATAGATGTGACATTTTGACGTCGCTCGTCATTATAACGTAATTAATGATGTCTCTAAGGTCATTTTAGTGACCAAAATTTGACGTCAATATAACGGCTGCGTGTTTGCTGGGTATTCTAGATTAAAAGAGTATTACATTTTTAACCTAATTATAACTCGTTACTATAAAATAAAGAATCAATCCTCAATATTTAGGATTCATGGCTTTAAACAATCAATACTCAACTTTATATTAATAGTTGGTCAAATGTTTATGAGTATGAGTATGGGGACGTATGGCAGGCCCCATCGATATCACATTACACTAATCTCCCAGGGTTATTTTACCACCTTTTGGTTGGTCAAATGTTTAGTTTGGGTAATAATACAGTCCGTATAATAATACAAATACATATACAAGGTGTCCCTAAACTTAGTGGCATAAATTTGGGAGCAGATTAAGCAAGTCAAAATAAGACGAAAATCTAAATAAATATTTTTCTTAATTAGGTTTGTTTAAAAGATACAGGGTGATAAAGTTTACTTATCATATCAGTTTTTTTAATATAACTTCCACTATGGTAGACGTGGAAAGGTGATATTTTGAGAACAGTCACTTACTACCAAAATACATATTCACACATAATAACAATTGTTCGAGTGAACGCAGTGTCGTAGAAACAGGGGTTGCTTAAGCTTATTGTCCCATACAAACTTTGAGGTTAGGTTTTTATACCATTTGATGCATTTTTTCGATTACTCAGTTCGTCTACTATTAAAAAGGTATACCTCTCAAACTTCGATAAAATAAACCGTTTCCGAGATATCCGAGATTACAATAATTGTTATATCGCATTAAAGGACTAAAAGGTATATGATAACAAATTTTTGAATTGAAAAAACTACAATTTTTTTAATGTGACGGTCAGGGCAAAAAGTCTAGAGGCTCATAGAATGCCGTTTTTTAGTTTTTTCAATTAAAAAATAAAATTTGTTATCATATACCTTTTAATCCTTTTAAATAATGCGATATAACAATTATTGTAATCTCGAATATCTCGGAAACGGTTTATTTTATCGAAGTTTGAGAGGTACACCTTTTTAATGGTAGACGAACTGTGTAATCGAAAAATTGTATCAAATGTTATAAAAACCTAACCTCAAAGTTGGGACAATAAGCTTAAAGCAAACCCCGTTTCTACGACACTGTGTTCACTCAAACAATTGAAATTATGTGTGAATATGTGTTTTGGTAGTAAGTGACTGTTCGCAAAATATCACCTTTCCAAGACTACCAGAGTAGAAGTTATATTAAAAAAACTGATATGATAGGTAACACTTTATCACCCTGTATCTTGGAAACATAAGTAATTAGGAAAAATATTTATTTAGGTTTTCGTCTTATTTTGACTTGCTTAATCTGCTCCTAAATTTATGCCACTAAGTTTAGGGACACCTTGTATAATACAAAATATGTTCTAGTTTTACAAATAAAGTAATTATTATTATTAAAGTCATTAGTTTTAAATAACTTCTGCCAATAAGTAAATTTAAAAATTCACTTTTCTCCCTGTAGGTATAATTAATTTTGAAATTTTTAAATTAATTAAACTAATAGCATCCAATACCACCTTATTATTTATTTAGTTTTATTAAATTTAGATAAAGTCGTCGCGGCGGATGTTTGAAATTCGGTCATCAAATTCTGAACCAAGCAGAGACATTACAACTGTTGTTGTTTTCTTTTTCTATGTAATCCAAGGAACCGGTATTTTTATAATGAAATAAGTGTTTCAGTATTCGATTTTAGCAAAAATCCGTACGATCCTGATCAGAATGCCCGGAAATCGGTTAGATGGGAAACAGCAGCAATTTGTGTTTAACTTATTATTTTCAAAGGGAAGCATGGGGGTCCCCTGCTCCCATTAAATTGTATCCAAGAGGTAAGAGCTATAGAGACAACAAAGCGCTGGAGATTTGGAACCAGATACTTAGCCTTACTGAGGAGTGGTTTCAGCGGCAAAGAATAATGGACGAAGTTTCGGAACTAATCGTCCATTACCATATAAAAATTATAAACAATTTTGAAAAAATAAACACCTTCATTCTATAAATCGTTTCTGTTAATACATTGTCCCCACCAGGGCCGAGCCTAGGGTATCTGCCGCCCGGGTGCAAGAATTAAATTTGCCGCCCCCATTAATGTAAAAAATTAGGTTGTCGGTAAGAAAGGAGTTCATAATTTATCATTCTCAATAAACATATAACAAATTTTATAGTAAAATAACAAAGTATTTATTAACAAATACATAAAAGAATAAAATAAAAATACATTCAGGAAAAAAAAAACAAAAATAATTAAACTAAACTAAAAAACTAAAATCTACTTTTCTCGCTTTTTTAATAGCAAATTCCCTAATCAAGTCGCCTACATCCAAGTTGTTAGAAATATCTTCTTTAATACTTATAATTGCTAAATTTGAAAGCCTGAATTGACACATATTGGATCTTAAATAGGTCTTAATTAGTTTTAATTTCGAAAATGACCGCTCTCCATAGGCAACAGCAACTGGCATCGTCAAAAATATTCTTAAAGCTACAAATAAATTCGGAAAGATGCCTTTTAAATCATTAACTAGTTTTTTACTTAAACGCATTAAAAGACAAAAGAAACTACTATGCTTGCATCCTATTTGCCTCACATTAATAAAAAAACTAGTTTTTAACTTAAACGCATTAAAAGACAAAAGAAACTACTATGTTTGCATCGTATTTGCCTCACGTTAATAGAAAAACTAAAAATTGCTGAAATACGCAGCCGTCAAATCGGAAGAAATTATGCTTTAACTTAACAGTTCAGCTTGTAAACAATATCACGTGGTACACAGCGCGCGATTTGATTGGTTCCCGTAAGCCCGCTCCCGTAAAACATGAAACTTGACGAACTCGAAGCGGACGGAGGGAAAGCGAAGCGGGTGGGCGGCAATCTATAAACCGGGCTTTAAGAAAATTGTCATCATCATTTTTTGTGGCTATCGCGCGTTCGGTTATGTCTTTTTTATCATTGCCGCCTGACAGCACAATTTTGGCATTGTTTTTATGTGTAGAATAAAAACGATGATTCCTTGAAACGCCGACATCAATAAAACGCAAGTGATTTTTAGAAAGTTTTTTGCATATTGCCAGGTGGCTTTTTTATTCTTGATAATATGATACAATTTTTTTGATGATATTTTGCCGCCCTGTGTTAGTGCCGCCCGGGTGCCATGCACCCCTTGCACCCCCGGCACGGCTCGGCCCTGGTCCCCACGTGGTTACGGTTTACAGTGATTGAGACAGTGCATACGGTGCTTTGTCAGAAGAATTTTTTCCTTAACAATTGTACAACATTAATACAGGTAAAATCTAAAAACCAGAGGCAATTCATTTAAAAAACCAATGCAAAGTTTACTTACTCGAAATGTCGCTCGATAATCAGGCCACCCACAATACACGCACAGGCCCCTTGAAAATGATACGCTACTGACTACCTAACCTAACATTTCACGTTTAAACGTATGTCGAGAAATCGTTTTTTGACTTTTGACATTAATGTAGCAATTTCAAACATTCGCCGCGACTACTATAGTATTGCATTGGGGGAATTAAATAACCTCGTTTAACTTATTGTATATTAAGAAATTTTTAACAAATAGAAAATGAAAGAAGAAATGTTAAAAGGATAGGTAATAACGCTAATAACTATGGTAATTTTTGTATATTTGAGCAATTATATGAATTGTATGAATATTGTACATCGCATTTTCCGAATTTGTATAATTATAGATAACAATTTCCTGTTTGAAGGGCAATACCCGTACATATACTTAAATATTATTAATATCATAATTGATGGTTCATTACCTATGCATTAAATTCGAACTTTAATCATTATATAAAGTTTTAGGATTTAACCAGTTTCAATACAAATAAAATAGTTTTTTTTCTTCTTTAGCTCGTGCGAAGGAATTGTTATACAAAAACGAATAACGAATACTAAAAATAAATAAAACAATATTTATTTAAATAAATAAGTCATTTTAATACTGTTCTTTGCATCTAGAAATATATTTTTATTGTATACAACTTAAGTTTTGAAGCTTTTAGTAACAGTTTAAAAGCACACACTAAGGTCTGAAGATAACTGAGGCCTTAAGACAGGTTTCAAGACAAGAGTTGACAATACCCTGTAAAACCCAATAGAAAAGTATTCTAAAGTCTAAAATCAAAAACCACTTTGTTTAGACCTTCTCCACACTAGTATACACAATTTCAGGCCTATTAATATTACGAACTCGATTAGTTTCACCTTTTAGCATAACCTGAATCTGCTCGAGAGTTTTTCCCTTCGTCTCAGGAATAAATAGGTAAGTAAAAGCCGCGGTAAATACACAACAAGCGGTGAATAAAAAGAATGGAACGTGAATTCCATAATTGTCACTTAAAAATTGATACAATTCGATAGAAATATATGCAAAGAGCACATACATAACGTCCGAGAGTGTCATCCCCAACGCTTTAACATTTGAAGGGAAAAGTTCGGCTGTCAAAACGATCGGCACTAAACCCAAACCGAATTTAAAGGCGGCCGCGTATATCATCACTGAAACAATCGGTATCCAACTCACGCTCAACACATCTACACCAGTGTGTTTTAGGTAGAAGTATATGGAGAGAGTGAGCAGACAAAAACCTGTTAGGATGTTGGAGATTATTAGTAATATTTTACGCCCGTATCTGTCCATAAAGAATGAGGATATGGTAGCTGATAGAAGCATTATGGTGGAGAAAATTATGGCTGCATATGATGTTTGGATGTATATAGAACCTGCAGCTTCGAGGATTAAGTGAAGATTCATTATGACGATGCTTATGCAGGCCATATGTTGGGCACCGTTTAATACAACCATTATTAGGACGGCCTTTCTATTACTTTTTACTAAAATAATATCCCATGGTTTGGTTTTGATACTCTTCTCCCTTTGGACTGACTGTGATATTTCCTCGAACTCTTTATCAACTTCCTTGGATTGCCTAAACTTTATTAAAGCTTCTTTAGCTTTCTCAGGCTTGTTTTTGATGAGTAAGTAGTATGGTGACTCTGGCATAAAAGCATACGTTATGATACCAATAACGTTAATACAAACACCTAATATTGGTGTTGTAATATATGGTGTAAAAGGTACAGTAACATACACGACAACAATCCCAACCAACATCATTAGATATATGATACTTGACAAAAATCCTCTTATCTTTTGATCGGCAATTTCAGCCAAATACATCGGGGCAGCAACGAAAGCCATATCACCTGCCATCCCGGTAAAAAACCTCGCAGCTATAATATACTCTACCCTATTAGCCGTCCCAATAACTATCCACACAATCAAAGTAGTGGTTGCTGCGAGTATTAAAGACATTTTTCGTCCGATTTTGTCCACCAGATATATGGTTACAGTGATTCCGCATATTGCTCCTATGATGTACACTGATTCCAGTAGTTCCAGTTGTTTTTTGGTTACTTTAATGGGGGAGTTTTCGGCTTGAAAGACTGGTATCACTGGGGCAGACCAGCCGTACTGCATGCCATCGGATATCATGGGAAGAGTACCTTAAACATCAAAAAGAATTAATAACTTGCGTTTCCAATTTAAGTCACACAGGTAAAAAAACCTTTTGGGTTAAATATTTTTTACCTGGTTACTATTTTGTCAATAAGGACAAAAATATGTTTACATAAAATATTAAAACATCCAAATAAATATTTAAACATGTAATAATCACTTACATTTGGCTGATATACCTACAAATATTTTATAGTTCATACAAATCGGGTGTTTTTGGTAGTAAGCTTCTATTCGTTAATTTCGCGGCATTGACAATTTTCAGGGGGGTAGGTACAGCTGTTTTGTTTAAAATTATTTTAGTAGTAATTTTTTTTATTTTAATAATAGTATTTTCCAAGAATACCACAGCAAAATAGAGGAAACTTCACAAACTGATTCGGGAGATTCAAAACACGAATTAAAAAGTAATGTTAGAATTTTGACAGATTTAGCATTTTAAGATACCAGGGGCGACTATGATGTTTTTGAAATGGCAACTATCCGATTGGTCCAAACAACATTATGTTTATCGTTATATATCAGAACATTACAAAGATTGTAAATATTATGCAACAGGAGTAGAAATATTTATTTAGTTTTTTAAAATTTTCCAATATGCATAAATTACATTGAAGGTGACGTTTAGGATCGTTATTTATACATAAATACGTAGATACATACTTATGTATGTATTGTGGTTTTTATCTTCTTTTAAATCTTATATCATTGAACTAAGTACTTCATAAAAAAAGTATTGTGGATTTATAAAGAAAAATATGAATGGGAAAAACAGTGGGTCAAAAACTAAACGAAACGCCTTCACCAATCTTTATGAAATTTTGTATAAAAATACTTTAACTTATATCGTTTACGTGATCGAGGGTTTTTCGAGAAAATATTTTTAAAGCCCTTTTATTTAATAATAAAAAAACGTTTGAAAAATAACTTTTAGGATTTTTTTTTAAGTGGTAAACCCTGAAAATTTTGTACAAATCAAGAGAACTGTAACGAAGATACAGCGCTTGAAACTCAGTAAAAATGACGCCTTTTTGATTATTTTTCTGAAAAGTGGTAATTTTTGACGACTTTGAAGCGCTTTATTTTCGTTACTGTTCGTTTGATTTGTACAACATTTTCAGGGTATACTGATAAAAATTCTTAAAAAAAAAATTTCCTATAAAAGTTTTTTTCGTGCTTTTATATTATTTAATAAAAGGACTTTTTTCTCGAAAAACCCTTGAACACGTAAACTGAGATATAAGTTAAAGTATTTTTATCCAAAATTTTATAAAGATTGGTAAAGATTGTTTTTTAGAGTTGGATTTTTTTTACTTTTTATGCAGCGCAGTGTATTTAACCATAGAAAACGATCTTCTAATGACTAAGGCTGTGAATTGTATCATACAATTTGTTTGCATACATTATTTTTATGTATGTCCGTCTATGTAACCTAAATGTATCTACAAATCTTTGTAAATTACGTAAACCGACAAAATTTATTAGTGCCAAAATTCATATTTTGACGTTATCGCATAATTCTTGCATATTTTTAGATTTTTTATAAGCATACATGTATATTTTTTGGGAAACTATAATTTAAGAAAACTGCTTAAAAAGCACATACGTATTTATAAAAATATGCTTTTTCAGCCTTTTAAAAACTTTTGAGAAAATTGATTTTATGTTTTAGAAATAATAATTATTTATGTCATTATAACTTCTTGGTCGAATGACGTACAACATTTTAAGGCACAATTTTATTTGTAAAACGATACATAAAACGTAATTATAATAATTATTAATAAAAGAAGAAAATGAGATTGAATATATCTGATAGGAGGTTTTGTCCTAAGTGATAAATAATGAATTTTTACAGCCTAGGCTGTAAATAACCTAACCCGATTGGTCTTTAAGTGCCTAGGCCATAATCAATCACTTAAGTGTTTAGAAAACAATATAGACGGACTGTACATTATTAATGGTTTTTATTGTGCATATTATGCTGCATATTTTTAGTATTTTTAGTGCATACTTTTTACAGCCTTACTAATGATTTTTTTTAATAATGGAGTTTTTCCGATTAAAAGCTTTGATTTTTTTACACAAAATGTCAAAAACACAGATTTTTAGGCTTAAAAAAGTTTTACCCAAATCTATATCTAATATGAATACAACAAACTTAAGCTAATATTATTTCTAAAAATTTGTTTTATTAAAAACTGTTATTTTTAAGACAAATTATGACAGGCCACTGCTTTGAATTTGTTTTAGGAAAAACAATACAAAAATTTACTATTTTTTATTTGCATCTCAAGATGTTTAAAAATCATAAAATAATTTTTTATCATAAAGTTGTATTCCTATTGTTCTTTTTAAAACGTTGTTTTTATATTTCAAAAAATTGAGTTTTCGGAAACTATGTTGTAAACTTTTTTATTTTTATGCACGGAATCGCATCCTGAATTTTTCGCAATATTAATTAATTACCCTTTACACTATATTATATTATATAGTGTATAGCAAAGATATTTTTATAAATAAAATAAACTTTGCGAAAATGTAATTAAAAATTGTTACTATGAGGCCAGGTAGGTATGCAGAAACTTAAGCATTTTGTTATATTTTGTCAGGATACTTGTTGAAATTTTTAAATGGTTTGCTGTTTACAAAATGCATAATAATATTAATTACCTAGATAGGAACGTTATAATTAGGGTAATCACACAGGTATGTGTATTTGTTTAATGGTATTGTCAAACCTACTATTTTATTACTTTACGAAGTTTTTAACTCCCTACCTTTAATTTAAATAATCATTGGTACTTAAACAAATAATAAACGCATTGGTATGACAACTTTATACAAAAACAAATTTTAAAAATAGCCTAGCGCATGAGCCTTACAATTAGACAGACATACACGCAAAACTTCTATGCACCAACAAATACTTAAACAAAACAAAATGTTCTTACATGTTATCGCGGTCAGTATTTGCGTGAATGTTCCTTGAAAGAGGTTAACGGCACTGTTCACCATTGACATCGCAACACCGATGACACCGTCCGAGTGTCTTGATCCGTTTCTAGTCGGGCATCCAAAACTTAAGCCATCAACTTAGCCATGGTCGAAAGGGTGGGGGAACACAACGAAAATGACACTGACATCGGGAAAACTCTATTTATAAGCGAAATGCAAGTGGAATCTTGAAAAACTGTGTCACAACGAAAGTGTTGTCTTTTTGTGTGAGTGTTTTATCGTTGTAGTAAACATAAACCTACAGACAGTTGATAAGTGTTGCGATTTTGAAGTCGTTATGTATACAAATAAATAAATTTAAATTACCTGTAAATATTTTACGTAGGTAATTTGCAACACTTAATTGCACTTGCACTCATGTAAATTTGTAATTTTTTTGTTTTATTACTTTTAGTATGCCCAAAGCTTGGTTGATATTTTTCACACTAAAATATTTTAATATTTTAAAAGTGTATTATTAAAAGGTTTTATTTCTTCGAAAACCCTATTGCTTGGAATAATAATAAATGTTGGAGATCCAGCAGATGCAGTTTCAACCAGAAAGACAGAAAGAAATGCATCTACCGGATCCCCTGGGAGTGTGGCCGGTCCTATGTTGGTGGTATAAGACCACTCGACATCAAAATCAAGAAAAATCGTAAAAACACCCAAGAAAGAGAGAAAAATAAATCAGGGGTAGCTGACTACACCTGTTCACATGATGTGACCATGGTCACCATATCATGAGGCCGGAAGCAAAAATCTTGCACCAAAAACCACACTGGTTTAAGGAAGCAGCAGTCATGCACCTGAATGCTCCGGTGCACCTGGCTTGGATATAAATGGACATGTACCTAAAGTATTCGCCTAAAACGACTGGCGATATTTTCCAGTCCAAAACCTTAATTTCATTTAATAAACATCATTGTTACCTTCAAACAAACATTAACAAATTTTATTGTTCTTTTAAGTTAACCATAAATCTATAAAATTGTATTTCCATAAACAATTTTCTTGTTTTATATTACATGTAAATATATACGAGGTAATGTTCGTGGTCAAGGTAAAGGTCATAAAATTACCTTCATTTAAAATTTATATATTTTACTAATCCCAATAAATCTTTTTGCTTTTTTGAACAATAAAAAAGTAAACCAGAACACTTGTTTTGTTTATTTAGATACATTTTCTTTTTTAAAATTAGATTAAATTATATTTAAAGGGTAAATCAGTTTAGCAAGACTGCAGTGCACTGGTGCGGTTACTTGCATATTTTGGAAAAAGTGACTTTTACAATAAAATTGTTTCATGTATTTGTTTTTAGCAATTTTTTTGTAAACAAAATGCTATTGCCTATTTTTGATCCCTTTTAAATTATACCCTATACCTGGGCAAAGTATCCTAAAAAAACTACATCAAAATCTAAATTACAGAAAACTTCTAAAAATAAATTCAAACAAAATACTTTTAATAATAATATTTAAAATGGGAGCAATATTATTATATATGTATGTATGTACATAATATGTACTACATATTAATATGTTTTTAAATTTTATAATAATACCGCCAAACCATACTAAGGGAGTGATTTTAAGGCAGCTGAAGCTGAAGCTGACATTGTTGACAGATGTATTTTCTGACAATTTGTGTCAATAAATTAAAACTTTAAATCATTATAACTTGGTTATTATTAATTAATTAGAACTTTTTATTTTTCTGTTCTACCCTTATGTAAGTAAATATAAATAAATTGAAATTAAATTATATTTTAAAAACATTATAAAACTTGTAAAAATTGCAATTTTTAGAACACCCTGTACATAAAGATATAATATAAATTTTTGGAACTGAATTTTTGCTCAATAGAAAACAATTATATAAATGTAACTAAATTAAAACAAATAATTAATTTGTTAAGATACATTTCCATTTTATATTCAGGGAGTTTTACATTCGTGGTCCATTAGAAGTTTCTGGGGAACGAAAAAATATATTTTATTTTAAAAGTAACACCCGGTACGTTTTACATAATCAAATAGTAAATTAAAAAACCTTTCGATTGATATTACTATTATTTATACCTATAGTTAATAATTTCAGAGATTTTTAACAATTTTAAATATTATTTTGTATCAAAAAACCTGTGACTGGTGAGTTTATAATTAACAATTTTTATTACTTATTTATTACTAAAAGCATTTTTTTATTTTTACATTAACATTAGACTAAAATATTGTTGGTTTATTAAATTGTTATATTATAAAGTAAATTTTATATTTTATTGCCTCCAATAAGCTAATGCTTTATATACTTGATATCCTACAGCTTTGTTGTTTTTTTTTCAAAATTTGCAAATACTGTTTGTATTACTTTTATTTATTTAAAAATGTTTCGCTTGTCTATGTTTTTTTAAGTCACTGACTGCTATTTGTTATCAGTAATTTTGTTTACAAAAAACTTCATCCACAAATTGTTTATAACAATCTGAAAAATTGACGCCATTAAATTTTAAACAATGACAGATTACGTGGTAACCATAGATACCCTCAACTCACCCGTTACCGTGATGTTGATACAAAATAATATTTAAAATTTTAGAAATTGTTAAATATCCCTTAAATGATTAACTTTTATAGGGAATAGTTACATCAATCAAAAGGTTTTTTAATTTACTATTTGATTATGTAAAAACACTTTTCAAGTTAGCCTAATTTGCCCTGGGTTTTCTCAGGCTATTTGTAGTAACTAAAAACTCTAAAATAATTCACTTTAGGTATAGGACATGGTATAGTAATTTTATTGAGAATTTTAAAATGTAAAAATATATATTTGAAATAACAAAGTTTGTTTCCGGTTAAAACAGAAGTGGTATTTTGGAAAAAAAGACTTAAATTTCAAATCGATATATTTTTCCGCTCCCCAGAAACTTCTAATGGACCAGGAATGTGAAACACCCTGTATATGTAGTTAAACGTATAAACTGTTTAATTTGACAATCCTTTAGTGCACTGGTAACATTACTTACCTACACTGATTAACATATTACAATAATTATAATGTAATAAGATATAATAATAATTAATATTGACAATTTTTTTAAAAATTATTTTAAAACGATGTCCCCAAAAATTAAATAAAAATATAATATACCTACATATAATAATTATAATTTATTTTGTACAAATTACATAATTTTATCTAGAAAAAATATTTTGTACAAATTACATAATTTTACCTAGAAAAAATTCTTAATAACAGAACTAATGTTTTATTAAAATACCACAATTTTAATATTATTAAGCATATCCGTGCATAATTTTGATAAGAGAATAAATAAATTAAAAAATACAATTTCTATACCTCTGCGAGGTGTGTTCAGAAAATATCGGGAATTTTCGTTTTTTGAAACAAATATTTATTTATTCGTCTACATTAATGTTGTCGCCTTCAAAATAGTCCCCATTGGATATTATGCACATGTGCCAGCTCTTCTTCCAATACTCGAAACACTTTTAAAACTCGATCTTTGGGATAGCCTTTAGTTCTTTCAGCGATGCGCTTTTAATGTCATCTATGCTTGCAAAACGACAGCCCTTTAAGGTTCTCTTTATTTTTGGGAATAGGAAAAAGTCAGACAGAGGCATGTCTGGCGAATATGGAGGGTGGGGCATTATTACAGTATTGTTTTTGGCCAAAAATTTTGTTCAAAATTTAACAATTTTAGAACAAATTTTGCTGCCACGCGTTTCATACCCAAAACATTCGAAAAAATTTCATGGGATGAGCCAATCGATATACCAACATCATCAGCGACTTCTCTGATGGTTTATAACCATTTCTTCCACTTTTTCCATGTTTTTATCGGTTGTTAATGTGCTTGTGCGTTCGGGGCTTTCGTCATCTTCAACGTCTTCACGGCCATCTTGGAAACTTTTATACCACTTGTAAACTCTTGTTTTACTTATAGCAGACTCACTGCCTTTGTTAACATTTCACAGAATTTATTTAATTTTTTGAGCAAAATTGGATACAAATTCTTTGATCCATTTCTTTTAACGAACGAAAAATCGCCGAGCTCATAAAACACGTCTAACCTTAGCGGCTGCCACAGACAAAGTAAACAATGAAAACATTTAAAGTTTTTATCATACTTCGGGGGCATGTATACCAACATAATAAAGAAAATTTTATGAAAACCGGACCCTCTGAACCCGCGAAATTTAACAATTCCCGTTATTTTCTGAACACACCTCGTTTGTACTGTCTAAAATGACTAATTTAATAGTTATTAGTGGCTTCTTTTCCACTTGTACCATGGTTAAACATGGGATACCATGGTATCCCAAAATTTGTAATGTACAAATAGTTAAAAAAAAAAGATTTAACAATGAAAAAATGTTTTTTTTTTATTAATTTTGGTACCATATCAAAATTTTACAATTCTTTTATATTTTAAAAATGTTTTTTAGATTTTTAATTTACATGTAAATTTTATAAATTTGTATAATTAATTTTGTAGTTCATTTAATACACAATTTAATAGGCCGTAGACGACATAATTTTAATTGCCCAGGCAGCTTGTTGTATACTGTCCAACTATGGAGAAAGGCAGTAACTGTTAAACAAGAAATTTGTGGGAAATTAGCATGCCGTCCTTACGGTACGGGAATCTATAAATGGCACTATGATTTAAATAAACATTTTTGACGTAATTGTCACCATTAACATTGCCCGTTATTAATTTTAATTAAACCTAACAATTATTGATACTTAAATATTATAAATATTAAAATAACTTCAAAATATGATTTTGTTAAGAAAATATTTTACCCTTTGATTTTTTTTATCACTATAATTGCAAAATATTATCACAAAGTATTAACATTTCTTATCGTATTGTTCATCTTCTACGGGAGGAAGGAAGGAAGGAAGGAAGGCAATCTATAATTCAGGCTTTATTAGCAACTGTCACACACAAAAATTACTAAGTGTATGGTTTTATTTTCATAGTTTCGTAAAAAACGTTTTAAAACAGGGAAAATGTTACATTTCTTGGTAAACAATAAGCAAATATGTAATAATAATAATAATAATAAAGTCTTTATTGATTGTCAAAAACTTAATACAAACGAAAGGCAAAGTTCAGTACCCTACACTAGGTAGTTCACTGCTCTTCCACTATTTGATATTTTTTACACATCAGAATTACACCTAAAAAAGCAAATTTAACAGCAGTAACTTTACAATTTAAAGTTAGTAATATGATATAATGCGATATAATGATGACGTCCACCCAGAGATATGGAGGTCCATATCTCTGCGTCCACCCAAACAGATATGGCCGTGACTATACCACGTGATAGGAAAGGTAAAAAATGTGTACTGTTTGTTGTAATAAATTATTATTTTTTCTATGCATTGATGTAGAGAACGATAATTTATCGCCGATAAACATTATTTGAATTTAATATTTTATGACAATTCCTTTTTATAGAAGGATAAAAACTATTTTTTAACTTTTTAATAGTAATAGTTTTGATTTTTTTAAACAAACTGTCACTTATTTTAAGTGTTTTCATAACAACCATTTTAAAATGTGTAGGTAATATTTTAGATCAGTTACACTGTTTAGATTACAAGGGTTGTAAAGTTTTTTTTAACTAAAATGCATTTTTTATTACCGATTAAAATTTATACATTGTTGTGAAATTTATTTCTGTTCCCGTAAATAATTTTCTTCCTAATTATAATAAATCATTAAACAGAAATTTTGCTGATTCTCAGAAATTAAAAACAGTAGACAAGATAAAGTTTGCAAACTTTTACCACTGTGCAAAATTCATAAATGACGCTTGCCAAAAGTAAGTGTGACGTACCATTAAAAACTGATCACAAAAACGTATAATTTGGCAACCTTGGTTATTAGTAAAAGTAATACACCGTACGGTGTACTATAAAATATTTCTCTCGCAAAATTTAAATAAAATAGTACACTAAATAACGCAAAACACAAAGAAATAGTTGCGGTTTAAACAGTGTGTGCGCGAAATAAGTTATTTTTTCTTTGTATACAATATACATAGTTATACATTTTCTCGTACTTAATTAATGTTGCCATAAAAAACAACAAGGGGATTTAACTGTTTTATTTTGTGAAGCAATTTGTACATTGTAAGAAAATGTAATTATTTCTACAGTCCTTGGCAAATATCCACCACACATGCCACAATAGAAAAATAAGTATCTATGATATGATATACCTAATGATAAAAAGAAGATTTCTAATTATATCAGCTGATAACGGAATTAATTTGGCGTTTTTATTCAGGTATGTACGATTAGGCTAAATACTTAATCAATATGATATAAGACCTCGTATAGTTTTGTTTAATTTATTCTTTATTGCTCGCTATTCTTTTAGGATACCTACCTCATAATTTTAATTGCCTGTTGGAGATAAAATTATTTTAAAACTTGTATTACTAACTGTGATACAGTGCGGTGATTACCATAAATTTTACTAGTCAGTGCTAAGGAGTCAAAATGGTTTTTGAAAAATTCAGAGGCACTGGGCCTCAGTTAATAGCTGCATTTACTGGTAAGTACCTAATATTGGTTATTATTTTTGGAAAATAAACGTAAAAGTATTTTTAAAATTTTATAGGTCAAGTTACACCTTTGTGTGATATTCCTTTTTTATTCATTTGTTAAATTTTGCTCATTTGCATAGATGTGATATAATAATTTTATATTGACATATTTTAATACCTGTTTTGACATTTTTTTAATCGATGTACAGGGTGTTTTGTATAAATGGGACACCTCTGTAAAAATTTTATTTGAGGAAATATTAAAAACTGCATGGTTTAAAAAAGTAATTTTTTTGACCAAAATATAAAATAGATATAACATTGCTTTTTTTCAATGGAACACCCTATATATTTTTGAATATTTAGATGGAGTTTTTTATTCTAATTTAAATAATTTATAATTTGTGTATGTTTGAATTTAACATTTTATTTGTAATTAAACCAAAAACATTGATTATTTTAAAGTTAAAATTAAAGTTGCCATGGATAAAGAACTTAATTCGTAAAATAATCATATTTTTATTTTAATTCTTAACAAAACGCAAATAATTGTTCCAAACGCCATGCTTATTTTTTAAGGTAAAAGTTCTCTATTCATGGCAACCATGATACTCGCGTTAAATTTAGCATAATTTTTGGGTCAGTTATTAACAAAACAATGAACACAAATATATACAAACTATATATTTATTTATGAAACCAAAAGAAAAAACTCTATTAAAATATTCAAAAATATACAGGGTGTTTCATTGAAAAAATTAATTAATTATATGAAGTTTTTTTAAATAAAAATATACATAAAATATTATATTAGTTTAATTTTCAAATAATTAATACTAGTTAAAAACTAATATACGGGATTTTTAAAAAATATTGCACTAACACATTAACTATGATTTCGCGAAAGAATCGAACGATTTTGGGGTATTTTTTTATAACACATCTCAGATTTTTTTTATATTTTAATATTGTGTTTATACATCTAATTCCACTCTAAATCTAAAATTTTTCTTTTATCTGACCTAAACTTTGGCTCCCAGAGACCATTTAATTTTACCTTTCGCAAAAAGCCATAATTTCATTATATTAGCATAATTATTTTATTAAAATACTGAATGTTTTGAGATGTGGTCCATAAATGACTCTTATTAGTATCTACAATTCTACCAAAAAAAAATTAAATTTTTTACATATAGGTGGCGCTGCCATTTTTTCTTCTTCAAAAATAGACGTTTTTTGAAGACCAAAAACTCTCTTAAGCAACAATGCTCAAAAAAACTAAATAGTATACCAGATAAAATACATATTCCTTTATAATTTGATATAAAAAAAATTTACTTGTAAATGATGTTGCCGCCCGTAAAGCCAACTTAAAGCTTTGTTTACCGCATTTAAAAAAATTGAATTACACTTACAACTTTATTCTTATTTATTAACTAAGGAATTCCAGGAGATTAGTTTTATTGGTAACAATAACACAGCAAAAAAAGTTTCACACCCAGGGGGCGCTGCAGTTTTTTTTTCTTTCTTTAATAACATTTCAGATAATATAGTTATGTATTCCTTTATTATAAAGAGTTACGTATTCCTTTATTTATTTAATAGGTTTGTTCTTTATTTTATTTATTATGTTTTTCTTTATTATTATTATTGATATTACTATTTCTTTATTATTTAACATATAACAATTTATCTGCAAGATTTGAATATATTAAATAATAAAGATATATTTCGTTCTTTTCGGGTTTAGTCAATTTTTCTTTTAAAAAGTCCGATTGTCCTGGGGCTACACAGTCAAAAAAAAGGTTTCGTGTTGTATCAATAAGTTGGTCTAGATAATTTTTAAAATACCATACTGTGCTATCGGATATACTTTCAATGGCTGAATTAATTTAAAATTTTATTCGCTCCATACCTAATTAATTTGTCAAGTTTTTCTTTGAGGTTTTTAGCATTGTCTTCATTGAAAATTAATTAGGGGGGTACCCAGTCTATATCTTTATCTTCAATGAATTGATTTTCAGCTTCGTATATGATATTTTTGTCAAAAACAAGGATTTGGTAACATTTTCTACATATTTTAGAATTTATTGGAAAATAAAAATTTGAAAAGTTTTGTTTAATTTCGTATAGCTTATTACTATGTAGATATAAAAACAATTTTGTTGTACGTTCACGAAATTTATTAAATTTTGACAGCTGTTTCGCTACACAGTAGCTTCTTCAGAATGTATTAAAACTAAAAATAATACAAAATATATATAACAAAAAATATTGGTATTCTAGGTAAGGATAATCATTTAACATCTACCTGTGTTACATAATAATAAACTAGGATCACATTCAGAAATACCTAATGGGAAAAACCTAATCTGTTTATAGTTTGTATTTTATTTATTAAATATTATAAAAGTGTGAATATTTTATATAATGCTATTGTTATATGTTAATAAAATTAAAATAGATTTAAAAGTGGTGAATTATTAGTTTCTATTTGATCATTGAGAATATTCTTAGTATTTTTAAGTTTATTAATTTCTAGAGATTCGAGTAGATTTAATTTAATACCTTTGTTTTCCAAATGTAATATTTTAAAGTTGTTATTAAAAGTATGGTTTTCTGTAATAAGATGTGATGCATAGGCTGAATCGACTTTTAGATTACCAATACCAATATTTTTTGTTATATATATTTTGTATTATTTTTAGTTTTAATACATTCTGAAGAAGCTACTGTGTAGCGAAACAGCTGTCAAAATTTAATAAATTTCGTGAAACTTTACAACAAAATTGTTTTTATATCTACATAGTTAATATGGAGTTTCATCAAGTAAAGGTCGAAACAATTAATAATTTAGCTTATTACTCATGAATCGGGGACATACAAATAGAAGGAGATCGCCAATTTTTCCCATTTTCACTGATTGATGATAAATATACCACTAGCAATTAGTGAATACTCACTTTTTCATGTAGCGATTTCTTTGCACTAATTTATTTAGTGGAAATTACACTGTACAAATTAGTGAAATAGGTTTAGTTCAAAAAAGTTATAATTTCACTATTATATGTCGAGAGTTCCGGAAAAGTAGTGATAATAAAAAACACTAATTTGGAGAAGTTAAAATTTCACTAATTTATATTGAAAAACACTAATTTTACAGTGAATAATAACTCACTGTGAAATTCTATCTATGATAACCGAAAATAGTGAAAATTTCACTGTTTCACTTTTAGAGAGCTCTCTAAAAATGAAACAGTGGATTTTCACTGATTGACAGTGCATATTAACTATTTGCCGCAGTGATAAGTATACCACTAGCAATTAGTGAATACTTACTTTTTCATGTATCGATTTCTTTGCACTAATTTATTTAGTGGAAATTACACTGTACAAATTAGTGAAATAGGTTTAGTTCAAAAAAGTTAAAATTTCACTATTTTATGTCGAGAGTTCCGGAAAAGTAGTGATAATAAAAAACACTAATTTGGAGAAGTTAAAATTTCACTAATTTATATTGAAAAACACTAATTTTACAGTGAATAATAACTAACTGACGGAAATAGTGAAAATTTCACTGTTTCACTTTTAGAGATAATAAAGAATGCTTTGCCTCTCGAAATATACTAAAATATATTTAAACAAATAGTCATATTACTATTACTATTACTTTAGAGTCACTGAAATACTTGTTACCATTTGTAATTAAAATTTCTTTGGTTTTGTTACCTTTTGTCCGCATACAACAATAAAAGCGAAAAAAGGCGTTTATATAACAATATGCGGGTACGTGCACTAGTTATAATTTTAATCGTCCCTACAACAGGCATTAATTATTACAAATAAATTTTTATATGTCAAACAATAAAAGAATATCTATATTATATTATACATTATAAATAATGTCATTAGTTTTTTAAGCAATGTTGCTTAAGTAAGTTTATGGTCTTTATAAACGTCTATTTTTAAAAAAAGGCTGCACCGCCCCCTGTATATAAAAAAATAAAACTTTTTTTTGTTGTGTTTTAGTTACCAATAAAAGCCATCACCTGGAGTTCCTTAGTTTATAAATAAGGATAGAGTTGAAAGTGTAATTCAATTTTTTTAATGCGGTAGACCAAACTTTAAGTTGGCTTTACGGGCGGCAACATCATTTGCAAGTAAATTTTTATATGTCGAATTATAAAGAAATATCTATATTATCTGGTACGCTATTTAGTTTTTTTGAGCATTGTTGCTTAAGAGAATTTTTGGTCTTCAAAAAACGTCTACTTTCGAAGAAAAAAAAATTGCAGCGCCACCTGTATGTAAAAAATTAAAACTTTTTTTGACAGAATTGTTGGTACTAACAGTAGCGTAACTAGGGGGGGGCGGGGGGGCGGTCCGCCCCGGGCGGCACTTCTTGGGGCGGCAAAAATCCTGAGAGAAAATGCGAAAAAAACTGGAAGACAGAATATAAAAATAAAAAAAATATTTGATAATTAAATATTCTCTTTCAAAATAATATAATTCAAATTCCAATAGATTTGAGATTTATACAATTACTCCCAAAATATTCCAAATCAAATAAAGCTAGCAAAAAATGTTGTTTTTCTTTACCTAGGTCTAAGAATTTTTGTTTGTTTTTAATTCTTAAAATATTACAATTTAATGTTATATACGAGCCCTGTCTCAGTGAAGTTGGCCCGACTAACAAAAATAGTTTTTTGAAGTTATTTAGAATATTATACGGTAATTAATTAAAATTAACACATTGTTTTAAATAAATAAATAACGTTTATTAAATTTTCTACCGTTAAATTGTATTTTTAAGTACCTAATAAAAAAATATTTAAAATTCTCTTATATTGTCCGTAAACCAAAAATTAAGAAAAAAAAAATTTTAAATAAATAAATTTTAATTGGAAACTACCACTGCGTAACATCTCCTTTATGGCTTATTACTGCCTGTATACGTCTCGGCATGGTGTCAACCAATTTTTGACAATCATCCGGCGTAAAATTATTC